ATCATGACTTCTAGTGTAGACAGGTTGCTGGCTGCTACCACTGCACTAAATCCCAGCTGAGGAAAGCACTTGAACTGGAGCTCGAAGCACTCTTAACTTTGTTTCTTTCTGAGCATGCTGGTGATTAAATTGCTAGCAGATGTACAGAGCCTTGCTGAGGCTACTGTGACTGCAGTGCTGGCAATGGCAGAAATATCAGCAGTTGTTGGAACAGCTTGGGCAGGAGGCGAAGCACAAGCAACTTGTAGGCAAGTCATTCTCCCAAGCTGAGATGTGGCCAAAGCAAAATCCCAGGTCTAAAAATGAGGACAAAATTCAAATGTATCTCCAAAATATATGACTAATTCCATGCTCTATAGTACCATTAGCCCTTGAACAGAACATTAACCAGGTTGTGGTAAATGCACAGGGAGTTGCTGTAGTGGACCCAGTTCTATACTCTCCCAAGGAAGGAACTAAGTCAGAATCATACAGAAAGATACAGCTTGTTCTTTCCAGTGGAGCCATTAATATACTTGTTGTGGGGGAATTTCTTTCCAAACTTCTAAAAAATCAGTTTGTGATGATATATTAAAATATTGTCATCTGTATCTTCGCATGCTTAACTTTCAGTAATGTCAGAAATTTTCAACTTGTTTTAAAAATAACTGTACAGTTGAAGCAATACTAATTTAAACTTAGGTATAGACTTTGCATAATATGATTAGTGATTAAATTAGCCTCTGTTTCTAAAACTCTACCTGGCATATTTAATTCTTTGGTTTATAGTTCTGTAAGCTGATAATATAGATTATAGATAAATATTTCCTTCTGGTTGTTTCAATTACTTGCTGTTCACTTTATTTTAATCCTCCCATTCTTTTCATGTTATTACTCCTAGTGATTTTAATGATTTTAAATACCACAGTATTTACTGCTTTATAATGTTTTCCCATTTCAGACTAAATTTTCTGTGGTGTATTCTGATTTGATACTAGCAGTCCTATTCCAAAACCTTCTCCTGTCCCAGCTGTCCTCTCCTGTCAAATGCAGGTTTTGTCCCCAAGCTAGGATGCTGCCTAGCTTGGGGACACATCCCTGTGCCATGTTCGTAGTTCAGACTCTGGAATTGTCCAGCCCACAGGACCTGCTTATTTCTTCCTGCATCCCCAGCAGGGAAAAGATGAAGCTGCTTATGCACACCTACTCATGTATGATGGGACAGCCCTTATGGAGGGCACCCAGTGCTCTGGATCTCCTGCCCACATATGGTCTTCTGTCCCACCACACGTGCTGCCTTAACTGTCTGTCCTCTCCCTGACATGGGGCTTGGCAAAGCTTCTCCTCAAGCTGGCGAAGAGGCATGTGAGGATGCCAGGGTGGCAGTAGCTAGAAAGCAGCACTTGGCGTGGGCATCAGTAACTGTTCCAAGGTACTTTTCATGAGAGATGAGCTATTTGCTTGATGACTAATTAATTTGCTTTAAAAGCAAATTTTGGCTCATTCTTAGAGGGATTTGCAAATGTATTTTGTATGTGTATCAAAATAATTCTGAGAGAGCAGCCTATGTTCACCAGATATCTTCAGGGAGGAGTGGTGCTTCTCCAACAGAGCCACCCAAAAGCTGGGGTATTTAAAGATAGGCTGGACCACTTATCCACTGTCTTTTCCTCTCCTGTAGACAACTGCCCAGTTTGTCCCCAACATCCAAAGCAGTCTGCTATATAGAGGCGTGCTCAGTACCTAATATTTATTGAGGCAGGTTAAAAAAAAAAAAAAAAAAAAGAACAAAAAAAACCCCAGGATTTATCGTGTTAGCTAGGTTAAAATTTTTATTTAGGATAAAATTCCTAAATTTCTGTGATCATTTCAGCCTAACTGCAGTGAGTGTTTCATAATTATACGGGCTGCACTAATATTAAAATGAAAGATCATTTTTTCTATTTCAGAAAGCCACTTCTGTTTTGTTCTATTTTCTCCTTTCCAGTTTCTATTTTCTTATGCTTCATCTTTGCTCCACATTGATATAGGTCCAGACTGCCACCAAAAAGCCATTGTCCTGTTCTCCCTCGTCCCTTTTCAGGGAATTCCTCCTGTCTTCCATAGGGATAAACTAGAAGTTTGGGGTTTTTTTCTCTACTGGTTTTCAGCATCAGACACCTTTTGCAGACTCCTCAGAATTTCTTCCTAATATTTAGTCTAATTTTACCCTATTTCAGTTTAAAATTATTACCTGTCCTTTAAATTATTAGCTGTCCTTTCACTACACTCCCTGATAAAAAGTCCATCTATGTCCTTCCTGTTGGCCTCCTTTAGATATTGGAAGATACTACAAGATCTCCCTGGAGTCTTCTTTTCTCCAGGCTGAACAACCCCAACTCTCTCAGCTTGTCTCCATGGGAGAGGTGCTCCATTCTCATGATCAGTCTAGTGGCCCTCCTCTAGACTTCCTCCAGCAGATCCCCATCTTTATTCTGCTGGAAAGCTGACGAATGCAGTGCTCCAGGTGAGGGTCTCACAAAAGTGTGGTAGAGGTGCAGAATCACCGCCCTCAGCCTGCTGTCCTCCTTCTTTTGATGACGCCCAGGATATAGTTGGGTCATGTCCAGTTTTTCATCCACCAACACCCCTAAGTCCTCCACAGGGCTGGTTTCAATCCACTTATCTCCCAGCCTGTGTCCAAGTTTGGGATTACCCCAACCCAGGCACAAGACCTAACACTTGGCCTTGTTGAAATACATGAGAACTGCACAGGCCCAGCTCTTAAGGCTGTCCAGGTCTCACTGGATGGAATCCCTTCCCTCTAGATTGTCAGTCACACCACTGAACTTGTCATCCCCAGGCTTGCTGAGGGTGCGCTCAATCCCACTGTCCACGTTCCCATGTTAACATGAGGATGTTAAATAATATGGTCCCAGAGGGACACCACTCATCACTTGTGATCAAACACAGCCATCAAGCCATTGACCACAATTCTTTGAGTGTGTCCATTTCCCACTGAGTAGTCCATCCGTCAAATCCATGTCTCTCCATTTTAGTGACAAGGATATGCTTGGGATAGTATGAAATGTTTTGCACAAGTCCAGGTAGATTATGTCAGTCTCTCTTCTCTTATCCATCACCACTGCAACCCTGTTGTAGAAAGCAACCAAATTCGTCCTTTTTGCTGAGCTTGATCTTATGCTGTCATGTAAGTGCACACTGCAGTACCAGTATTCTCCCTGGGTGACCCTCCCTGTTCTCTGTCAGTGCCAGCCTGGGAAAGAATCAGGGAGCGGGGAAATCAATGTATAAACTTTGACAGCAGTCAGTGTGGCTTGTGGAATGAGAGACTTGGACAGAAACCAAGAGAGGTGGTGTTCTGTAGGGCTGCTGCAGAACCGAGGTGTTAATGACATGCAGGCTAGGAAGAGTAAGTGGGATCCAAGGCAGTGTTGAACTCTTGCAGCATCTTTGTTGGGCACAGGAGAGGGAAATTAGGCTTATATGTTACAGTATTTCCATATGGAGCTGCTGTAATGCATGGAACTACACTAAGGTTTGTGATGAGCGGGGAAGGGTAAACAGAGATAGATGCTTCTGTGGTTCCTTGTCCTTTCCCTTCTTAAAAATTCAGGAACAAGAACACAGGGAGGAAAAAGCAGGTGGTGTTACTGAAATATGGATTCTGTAATTCTTACAGGGTGTGAACGGTGGGGTATTTTTATGATTGAAATATACCAAGTGAGAATTGGATTCTTCTCAAAGCAAGGAATTAATTATGCTGCTTAGAAGTTGGAATAATGTGAGGGAGCACCACATGATCTTCCTGTTGTAGTGCCAGTGCACCTCTACAATCTGCAGTCTTCTTTTCCACTTCCAGGCTTATTTTAGGCAGTGTTTATTTGTGGCTTGTGTGGCTTGTAGTAAGAGAAATTGCAAGTAATCATCAGTATAGATGATATCTTGTCTTTTAATAGTGACAAGATATGGAAGGATCATGATGAGTGAGAGTGGGTTAACCTGATTCTTGTGGAGATGTTTATCCTGTGTCCCTTGAGCACTGGTTCACTGTGAATTTTATAATTTTAAATCCTAGTCTTTATTGATCAGTGGTAAGATTTTGGCATTTGCATTTCCCTACTGTTAAGACTTATTTTTGACTTTACTTTCTGTCTCTTCAAATATGAATCCTCTCTAAGTTCATTGAGTGATCAGTTATTTTCATGTAAAATAGAGCACAGAAAATTAGTCTTTTCTTTGTGCCATACTACGTAATTGCATTATGTCTCTTGTAATCTCTCCTTTGTAAGGTAAATAGTCACAGTCTTTTCTTTCTTTTCTCATATTAAAATTTATCCAAATCCTTTGTTATTCCTACTCCTGTTATTGTCTGAATCCCCTCTGACATTGGAGCATTCATTTCTTGAGACGCTGTTACCAGTGCAACATGTGGCGCTGCAGAGGTAACGCTGATCTACATTAGTTATCTCTCCACTTGTCACCATTTTATTCACTATTTATCCTAATTTCTTTTAACTACAGTTAAGAATTTCATTTAGAAGAGTGGTCTTCTTTGAGAAGGGTTCTGTGACCCTGAGGTGTCTTTACTGAATTGATGAAGTTTGCTTTTAAAACATGTGTAATTACATTTTCTCCTTCTAGTACACACTGATTTCAATGTTGAGTTCATCATGATATTGTCTTTTCATCCAATGTTTTTTAGGTTTATCTTGAGATTCTTCACTGTCATTTTTGATGTTTCCTGACCCAATAATTGCATGTTATCTATAGGCTTTGCCATCTCATTATTCATATTCTTTTCCAGATCAAGAATAAATGAAATTGAAAACACAGAATTGAGTTTACCAAACCTTTTTCCTGATATGAAACAATTATTATTTTGAGACATATGTTATTCAGATGATTCTATAAATTCTTTTTATGCAGATTTCAATAGCTGAAAGACTAGATTGCAGCTACTTTTTTTTCTCCATGCAAAAACCATAACAAACCTAATAGTCTACCAAATTATCTTACAGACCCTGTCCAGAAGAATTTCAAATCCCTATTTGGAAACTCCTTCAAATAAGGTACTTGTGAACCTTCTTTTTAATTCTATTTCATCAAACAAAATGCAAGGAATGTTTTGCCTTCAGTTCAACCTCTTATTCATATCTTTGAAGGTACCTGTGAATGTGACTTGCAGTTAAATCCAGTCAAGAAGTTATCATTTTGTGTGTGTGTTCCAAATCACATCCTACTATTACTAAGTTTGCAAACTGAATTGTTGTTAATTCCAATGTGCACTTGCTTCCCAGCGCTTAAATGATTGCACTGTCTAGTTTATTTTTACAGTACTTTGAGAACTCTAGTTTGCATGTCACAAGATTTTGTTCCCTCAGGACTCTTCTATATGCTTTAAAAAACTCCTAAACATAGGAAGCAAACAAACAAAAAGGTGAAACCAAACAGAATCAAATTAGCTCTTTGTGTCACTTGGTGTGTTTTGCTGAGACACTGAGGAAACAGCACAACAGAAGGCCAGGGTAAATTCTTCAGTAAGGAGTGGTAAAGAGGGTCTGGATGGAACATGGTTTTATGGAAGACTGAGTTGGGCTGTTTTGGCAGACACATCTGCAGTCTTGAGGTGCAGGGCAGAAATCAGGTGTGGGAAAATCAGAGGTGTGTCCATTCTGAAAGACCACATCCTCCTGGCAATGCATGAATGAACTGGTCTACAGCTATCATAGGAAACCTCTAAAGGTTTTGAACAAAAAGAAAAGACTACGAAATAGTCTTTAAGTGTGTATTAGGCTTGAAATACATTATTTAGCTCAAATATGTAGGAAATTATATTTATTTTAAACTGCATCTGTGTGATTTTGCAATGGTTCATATGTCTCTGCTTTGCTAGAATAACACATTTTCATTTAAATTGTCTTTTGTTCGAAGGTTAAGCTGATGGATAGTTAAACCTCTCCTTTTCTAGGGCAGCAAATCTAAAATCAGCCCAGCTTGTGGGGCACCTACAACCCATGATACAACTGGCAGAAGCTGGGATGCATTTCTTATGAGATTGGGTGCTTGCTTGTCATTTACCTGTGAAGAAGGCATTGCTCAAAGGGAGGGAGCAGACAGTGGCAAGAAAATTTACTACAGCAGGAATAAATCCCTGTTTGTCACAGTTTTCAATTTCTCTTTTCATTCAGATTTATGGAGAAAGTTCTTCCTGTGCTGGGAGAGCTCTCAGGAATATTTTTACTCTACAAGCTTCTGACCTGATTAAAGACAGGGTGTACCTTACTGGCATTTGCAGGTAAATAAAAATAATTTGTTTTAATTAACTTTAAGAGTTTTATATGCATTTATCTGTGCTCTGATTTGACAAAATCAGATTCTGACAGATTCTGTATATGTCACTAAGAATTAAATTTTTTTTTTAAAAATTCTTTAAAGTCTCATGTACCTTAATATCTTTTCTTACATTACAATGTCAGTTGTCAGAAAGCAGCAGTCGCCTGATTGTATATACATTAATTCAATTGCTTATGGTTTTCATATACAATAGTGTTTGTCAGTTATTTTGTTGAAAATAGAGCATTCATTTCAGCCATGGTTTGGAGTTATAAAAGAGCTTAATTGGATTCCAAGATTTAGTGACACAGTGATTTCTGCATGTAATTTATGGAATATTTCTGTAATGAAATATTCCATTGTGTTGCATTGTAGCATAAATGCTTCCTCCTGTTTTCAATTACACCAAAATGTGCAGCTCTCTATTACAGCACTATTTGTTCACACCTGTGTTTAAGAAAAATCCACTACTATTCTTATTTAAATATATACATTTACCAATAACGTGAAAGATTAAGTACATCCTAGAGCAGCATTTAAAGGTCTTACACATATTGTTTAGCTGTACTGATTATGTAATGCTTGGAAAGGAGATAAAAGGCTGAGGCAAAAAGCTGGATTTTATTTATCTCTTATGCAACTTTGAATGACCTTTATGCAGCACAAATTAAAAAATGCTATGTATTGCAAAATATGCTACATGAAGCAGGTATGTAAGGGAACTTGCTCATCTAACATAAGTCCCCTCACTGTAGCTGGAGGTATCCCCTGAGGCTTGCCAGTGTAATTTCTTCCCTTGAAATGAATAGGTTTACAAAAATTAGCAATTGAGACAAAGAGTTTTCTCTGCTGAACAAAAAGGCTGAGTTTTGATAGCTTTAAAATAGGTCTTTATTATAAAAGAATGTTTTAACATTACTGTAGTTTAAGAAGTGATGTTTTGCTTGTTTTCAGGAGAAGTTGTGTTGGATCAGAACTCGTAGACTGGCTTTTGGAGCAGTGCCCTTTTGTCAAGTGCAGATCTACAGCAGTTGGAGTGTGGCAGCTCCTCCTGGACATGGGCATTATATTGTCAGGTCAGTCCTGCCAGTACTTGCAGTGTGAGGAAGGCTATCCCTTTCTCCTGCACAGGACAAGAGCATGGTTTTGATCAGAGGAGGGGAAGGAAGAAAGCACAGATTGATCCAATTTTCTTGCCAGTTCTTTTTCCTACTATCTTTCTGGGAAGCTCACTTCTATGACCTTTCATTTCATAAATGCCAAAGATCAATCCCTTGTTTTTGGCAATTTCATTCCCTTTTTCATTCCTGTAATTGCCTATTATCAAGTTGCAGACAGGGTGCGTGTCTTTTCCAGACTTTTTTTTTTCCCCCTCAAGCTATTTTAGGTTTCTCATAAGACAGCAGCTGTTTTAGTCGCTGCAGATCATGGCTTTACCAGATGATTTCTGTAGCTATTAATGATTTTCTTTTCCTCTCTGTTTTCCATAATTTTTAATTACAATGGATTGAGAGAGGCTCCAGCTCCTTGAGATGGTGGTGGGGCCAGGTTCTACCCTGCTGGCTCCAGCTTCCACAGCAAACTGAGGGATTTGGTCCAGCTAATGTGGTTGGTGATAATTACACTGGTAACTAGTTTCTGGATAGATGATGGATTTTACTTAGAGGCTGGGACTACTTAGGTAGCTCAACTAAGGTCATACCCCACCCTGGGGTCTGTGCTAGACATCTAAACTCTTTCTTGTGAAAAGAAGATTTCTGCATATGTACACTGAAAGTGTACTTTAAGGTTTTCTTCAGCTAAACTGACAGCATGTCTGGTCATGCAGTCTGAGCAAGGGCTAAATTAATTGTTGCAGGGTGCTTGTGCTTTTGGCTTTGGACTCTGTCCTTTTTTTCCCATTAAATCCCTTTTTTTTCAGGAAAGAAAACTGATACATCTTCCTATCCAGGTCTAGTCTGCAAATCCAGTAGCCCTGAATTTCAGGAGAAGCTGGAATAATGATGGGCTGCATCCCTATTACTGAATTTTGTTTACTAGTGCCTGACCATTAGTGAAAACAGTTTAGAAACTAATGGAAACTGAGACTCAGAAATCTAAGAAAAAGAGGAAGGTTTTTATTTCCTAAATCTGAACTGATTCCAAAACTGATTAAACACTCATCAGTCTTAATGCTTGAATTTCAAGATCCTGGAGATTTTTAAATTGAGGTTTTGGGGTTTTCCTGTTTGGATGCACTGAATTAAACTGAGAGGTCAGGATTGCTTCTGTGCTGAGTATTCAATCCTTTTGTCCTGTGTGATGGTATAACTCAGCATTAAGATCAAGTGTAATATAGAATGTGGGAGGAATTTTTACATGTTGAAAGTTTAAAGGGTGTCTAATATTATTTTTTCTTACAGTGGACAGACAACTCTATTTTCAAGACAGTCATGTTTTCTACCAGTTCTCAGCAGATGAATGTACCTACCTTTTCTGTGAATTTGAGAAAGAGGAAGCATGGAAGAATGGAGTAAAGCTCCTACTTCAACTACTGCCGTTGTCTCCTCCCAGGATTGACATGTGCAATCTGTAAGTGTGCATGTACAGCTGTTTGCAACTTCTACTCTCTGCTTTACAGTTGTCTGGTCTTATAATGACAGTTTGCCCCCAGACCACCTTGCAAATGAGACAGCTTTCTTTTGGGGGTTGGAAAATCTTGTAGAGACATGCTTTTCATCTGAGAAAGTCATTATGTATAGGAAAATGGAGGCACCTGACTAGGGGGTTTAGACATATGACAGTTTTTAGGGACTAGCTTGCTATCTCTAGCTTGCTCTATTACCTGGGTATGTGATTTTTTTTTGGTCTCCCCTTACATTTGGAGGCTTGGCATGAATTTAGCAGCAAGGATGCTCTGGTGATTGACTAGCAGATCAGATGCCCTTTGTGATGTGTCAGGATCAGCTTTCACATGGATTTGACAAGATGGGTGGAAATGTGGTACCTTCAGTCATTTGACTTTAATTTTCTACTGTATGTTTGCCAGAGCTCTGTAAACTCACATTATTGTTTCTTTTTCAGAATATGCCTTTTAAGAGTTTTGCTTCCTATATATCTCTCCTTTCACTTGAGTATTGAGTATTACCATAGTCTCTGTGCTCATATGTCTGCACTCTAATGCTGCCTGTTTAGAGTGGCTAGAAGGAAAACATAGCTATTTGTTCTATTATATTGTTGCTATTAGTGAGAGGCCAAAATAGAGGATGAAGGTGTTAGCGAGAACTCTGGAGGCTCATGACCATTTATCCTTTAGTAAATCTGCAGGAGTGGGCCAGAACAGACAAGTTGAGTTAAATTCTTTCATTGTCTCTAGCATAATGATCCTCAAACCCAATACTTTGGATAACTATTACTCTGGCAGTACTAGAATTTATTCTCTTTGATGCCAAAGACAACACTTTTTTTCTATGGATACTTTCCTTCTCTACATATTAGCTTTTAAAAATACTCATTCTCGAAGATGAATGTTGAGTAGAAATATTTCAATGGAGCACAAAGTCAAAAGACCCTGTAAGCTGTCTCAAGCCCAGATTCTTTAATTCAGATGTGTTGAGCTGGTAGGGAAAAAACTCAGTAATTTCTCTACATGGTTCAGGGCAGAAACTTGACTCCCTTCCCTATTGCTGACTGCCCTCATCAATCAAATATTGGCCATTCTGGAGTGGAGCTTCCCTTCAAAATGCATTTATTTGACCAGCTTGAGTGAGTGTAGGCAAGTGACAAGAACCCCAAGCTGGCTAGAGCAGTAGGACTGAATATGATCTTCTAAGCAGCTGACTCACATGGGAGAAAACCTTTGACTATTTTTGCAAATTGAAATTCTTGTCTTCCAGACACTTCTGGTGCTAAACAGTTTGTCTGTCCCGTAAATATCAGGGCATCTTGATCTGGATTTTAATGGGAATTAGGATTTTTCTCATCACTGTAAATCAGACCACTTTTCATGGGTTGTGTCTACTTGTTCATAGGCTTTGAATCAAAAGGACAGAACAGACAGGTAATATTGATGTGTTACGTGAAGGATGCTGGGTAGGAAAAGGGATTGAAGGCTTTTTAGATGCAAGTTTACAGTCTGCTTTGCAGTTTTATCATTTCAGTGGAACTGTCATTTCCAGTGGAAGATGATCCCTGTCACATGAATTGAACAATTATTCATTAATGTACATTTCCAGCTCCTTTCTGCTCACATTATTCAAATTTGAGTTGAAGCTGGATTCCTTTTGGGAATATTGTCACTGAAAAATTGTTTTCTTGAGCTTTTACCTGTCAGATTGTGAGGGTGCTTTTTAAAAAAATACATATTGTAGGAATTGGATTTTAAATAATGGTATACACTCAAGGGATTGTAATATTAAAGCAGAAGGAGACTTTTCCAGGTTCAAAATTTTTCATGCTTGATGCAAATAATAAACTACTAAAACACAGTCAGAAAGGGAATAGGTGTGATGAGATGTTTGCTAAAGTTGTCTGACTTGGTTAAATAAAGCCATATACTCCTTTTCATGAGGAAAGAGAACAATTCTAAAAACCTTTCCTCACAGGGTTTGTCATTTCTTGAATATATAAGCGGTTCTGCATACCATTAGAAGCATAGGATTTTTTTATAATTTAATATTTTTGTACTCATTTTTCTATCTTAGCTTTTCTCACAATCTATATTGACTGCATTAACTCTAAATGTACATAGGGGTAGAGAAATTCTTACTTCATTAATTAGATTCCCTGCTTTTGATGAGAACAGAAGCAGCTGCGTGCTTGTACACAAGAAGGGAACATTGGATGTCTCTTGGTGGTCCCAGAAGCCAGATGACCTCTGTCTTCTCTGCAGCTGTGGGCAGCAGCTTCTGCTTGCCTGGACTGCATCAGTGGGTCTCTGGAGCACCATGGTTCTGCTCTCCCAGAAGGAGTCTGTAGACCAGAGTAGGCAGTAGCAGCTCTGGGGACTTCCTTCAGCAGCTATTCTGGAAACCCTGTTAAATAAACATAGTTCAGATTTGACTTGCTGTACAGATTTTTGATGCATCTGTATTTGTTCCTGGACAGTTTTAGTGGTGTTACCAAATTAATGTAGAAAACTCTACAATGAAAATACTGTTCTGAAGTCTGAGATGTGCTTATGATTCCTGAATAACTGCTCCTGTTGGCCTTGGTGGAAATTCCTTACGTTCAACATAACATTGGTGGGATTCACCATGGAAAACAAGTCAGGACATAGCAGATTTTCAGCAGCTCACACTAATCTGAAGGCTAATGTTGTGTATATTCCACAGGATTCAGACCCTGCAGATGTTGTCAAATTGGATGGCACAAATGAAGAGGCTTCTTTAGGTCATTAAACATCCAGTGTAATTCACAGTCATTCTACTTGAGTAGAAAACAAGTGAATATTGCAATAGCCTGGGAACAAAAAATCTCAACTGAAAGCTGTGCCATGGGCTCCCTTACAACCTTGAGCAATCACTTGGGCTCTTATTCAATGCCTCCTGAATTCTTTTCCAGTTACTGCAATGGTGTTGTATCAGGTGTTTAATCCTTGTGTGCTTTTATTTCCTTCTTTGTAAATGTGAGTGTTTATAACAATTCCCAGAACCACTGGTAGATTTGGGGAACATTTCAAAAATGCAGTCAGTAGCTGGGACTGTTGAAATGTATCCCATAATACTTTTAAAAATTATTGGAAGGTATGTTAGCAGAGATTTTTTTTTCTTAATCTTACATTGCTTTTTATTTTCAGGAGCATTATATTCTCTGTCTTCTGTCCTGAAACAATTTCCATTTTATTGATATTAGAAAAGTAACCTTCTTAGAAGTAATTTGGTTTTCATGCAAACAGCCAGGAAGGGATATTGATTTAGTTACTGCCTTATGGCATTCCTGGAAAGCTTTTGCTGAACACAAACAGCTCTCAGGTATTGGGTGAAAACTGACTTACCAGCTTGCAGATCTAGGACAAGCATCCCTGCATCTCACTCTGCTTAGCAGGCTGAGCCCACAGGTCACTGAACTGTATAAGCACCTATTTGCCTGGGCTTGGTAGCTCCTGTTTGGTACCAGACTCACTAGGTCATAGCTGTCCACTTTTGAAAAAATGAGGGTGATAACTGTTACTTTTGTCCTTTGTCCTGGGTGTCATAATATACCTTTCCTCTCTGATTCTGAAGAGCTGATTCCAATTTTTAGTGTTTTTGTTGTTTCAGAAGTATTTGATTATCATATGCAGATGAATACTAAGAATATTTTTAAATAGAAAATGAAGAGATAAAGGCCCAAGAAGGAACTAGCTGTGCTATGTGCTGTTCTGGGTTTATTGATTGCATCTGTGGCTGTGTCTACTGAGCTGCTATCTTCTGCCTCCAATTTAGAAGAATCAGGTCCTGGTCTGGTTCTGACAGATCAGAAGAGAACAGATGTGTAGAGAAACATTTAAAAAGTTCTGTTATTTGAATCTCATTCTAAATTATAAAGAGAAAACCTGAATAAATCAGTCTTTGTAAATGAAAATGCATTCATTGATTTCTTTTGAGCTGTTTATAACACTTAAAATGTTAAATCACATTTTCTTTGAATAGGAAAGGCAGTTGTGAAAATAACTGTGATTTTAATCTGAATTACCATTTTGATCTGAATTTGCTTGCCCCAGAATGAATCCATGTGTCATTCTGTGCTTTCTGACCTTAATTTTTTAATCAGGGAATTAAATTTTTGGACATGGGATGTAAGAACCTCAATATACCAGCTGCATATTCCAGATGTCTTGCCAGCTCTCTCCCTAAGGACATCAAGGCATATAAGCAATTAAATAATTTAGTCAAAGACAGAAGCTTCTGCTAATACCTAGAATTTATGTTTATTTCAGCAGCTGCAGTTTTGTGTATCTGTTCAGCTTGCTGGCATGCTTCTTGAATACCATGAAAAGTACAGATCTCAAGGGCATTTTCTTTTACTTCTTCCTGTAGTTATAACCCTATCATATTGGTATAATGCTTCTGATTGTCCATAAAGCTTCTGAAAGGCTTACAGATGTTTTAGTGATGAGAATTAGACTGTTTTAAAGAAAAACACAGTCTTATCCTCTACTGTCCACTTTTGTGTGACTATTTCCATGTGGGCCAGGTTTCTGGGATGGTTTCTAGGAAGACTCTACTGCCTTACTTTTGAAAAGACACTTTACTTTTAGTTTCTTTCTTGCGAGTTACTATCAAGACATATATTGTTCTCAGCTGTTGCTTTAGTTTGGTTATTTATGGCTTAAATGTATTATTTTCACTTTCAGTTTTTTTTCCTGAACATTCAATTTCATGTGTCATAAAATTATTTTGACGTTGTCTGTTTTCATCTACATTAAATTGTTCCATAGCTGCTGCTCCACACCTTAGCTGGGTGGTGAGTAGATAGAAAACTCTTACCTCCATACATAGAGTATGTTTTTAGCAAAGCAAAAGATACAGTCAAATAAGGAACTCTGCTCTGAAGGGTCCTGCATTCTTCAGTTCTTCATCATATTTTTATAGCTGAAGAATTCTCTCACTGCTTCGTGTTGGTCGGATCAAAAGAGTTCTTGACAGCAAGGGACAAAGGGTGTACTCTGTCGTTACCGACATGATTAATTATTGTCATGCTGTAGTCCTCGTTTTGATGTGGAATCTCAAAGGCCCTTTTACATTAGTGCCTGTGGCTACACAGCTCCTTACTTTCCAGGAATCAAAAGATGTTGAAACAGAATGAAAGAAATAATAAAATCTTATTTTTATTTTTTTAAGGCCTGATCAAAAAATAGAAGATACAGCAGAAACCAATGCTGAAATTCTTGCTCGTCTCACTTCTGCGGTAAGGTCATTGCAACAAAGTTTGAACTGATCATGTTTGAAATATTGTCATGTTTTGGATCCTTTCAAATTAAAGACTTAGTCTAACTGAACAGATGTTTGTATATGAACACTGTTTTTTTAGTTTCTGGAAGGAGAGAGCTTTACTGAGGTCTTAGTGAACAATTCCAAAGCTATTAAAATCAACCCAAGCAAGGACTGCAGCAGCCTGCTCTTGTACTAGATGCTATTCGTGGCCCAGAAGATACCAGCTTGGAGGATCAAGGTGACTTTTGTGTGATGTGCTTTACACTCAGACCCTCTTGGTCAAGTGTACATCAATGGGAGACAAAGGGAGAGAAAACTCTTCAATAGCCCTTGTGTAGATTATCATAAACGTCTGGGGATGCCCACCTGGGAAATCTGAGCTTCCCAACAATGTTTAGCCTCAGTAAATTTCACCATAATAAACAGTACCTTGTTCTGTCTATGCTAGAGTGTGGTGCATCTTGTTTATCCTGGTAGATCACTGTTCTAAGAAGAAGACAGGACTTCAGAAAGTTAAGCTAGACTGACTCAATTTGATGTAATCTGTATGATAGCACAGAGTGCACCTTCAGAAAATTAGCAAGCAGTGCAACACTGGGAGGAATAGTTGGTCCATTCCATACCATCCCTGGAGGTATGTCAAAGATGTGTGGATGTGGCACTTGGGGACATGGTTTAGTGAGGACTTGGCAGTGCTGGTTTAACTGCGTACTTGATGATCTTACAGGTCTTTTCCAACCAGAATAATTATATGATTCTATGGTTGTGCTGCCACTTAGAGGGACTTTGACAGTCTGGAGAGATGGGCCAACAGGAATCTCAGGAAAGTCAATAAAGGGCAATGCAATATCCTGCATCTGGGAGAAATAAATTCATGATTCTATACAGACTACCTGTTGACTGAAAAGCAGCTTTGCCGAAAAGGATGTGGGAGTTCTGATAGACAGCAGGTTGAACCAGAAATATGCCCTTGTGGCAAAGAAAACAAATGCTTCTTGAGCTGCATTAGTAAGAGCACTGTCCTTAGGCTAAGGCAGGTGATTATTCCACTCTCCTCAGCACTGGTGTGACAGGAGTGGAGTCTTGGATCTAGTTCTAAACTCTCAGTACAAGAGATATGGATGTCCTAGAGTGTGTGTGAATGACCATGGAGATGGTTGGGGAATAGGGTACTTGATTTACAAGGAGAGTCTGGCAGAAGTGGGAGTGCAGTTTGGAGAACAGAAAGCTATAGGAGAACCTTATTGATGTCTACAAATACCTGATGGACAGACTCTAGCTGGCAATGATTTTCAGCAGAGGTTTGGATCAGATGATCTCCAGAGGTGCTTTCTGTGATTGTGCAGTTCTGTGAACACTGCACCTAAGTCATGGTATCATCAAAACATGGAATTGGTGTTAGTTCTATTTTTGGCATGTGAGAAAGTAAAGATATAAAAATGAAGCAAGCAAGATAAAGTTTTTATGAAAAAGGCATGAGGATAAGAGATATTTTAAGAAAAATAAGTAAAGTGCTACCTTGAAACTGCTGGAAAAGGGAAGGAAAGGAGAATTTTTTCTGTGTTTTGTAAAGACAAATGTCTTTACAAAAGACATTTAATAATGTGTTTGGAAAGCTTGTGATTCTGTATATTCAACTTTATTTGAGAGTATTTTAAAATGCATGACATAAGCAAATTCTGTATTTTAAATATATATTTTTAAAATTGTCTCAATATTCAAATTCCTTGTTTTCTCTACTTTTTTTTCTTAACTGAAAATGAAAGGTGAACTCAGAACCTCATTATCCTCTGGTTTTGTTACCATACAGAGCAAAAATAGAAAACTGTGAAAGACTTTCTGCGAACTTATATTTTTTAAAAACACTTGCAAAAAACCAACTCTATAAAACATTGCCAGTATTCCTCAAAAGCTTTGCCTTACAAAAATAGAATAATGGGGGTTTTGTCAGTTAAAAAAAAAGGTGAACAAAGCGAAGTGACCTTTTGAACTTAAGAACTGGATTTAGCAGTTGCTTGCACTTGAGTAACATACATATCCTTAAACACCTAATTGACAGTGAGTTCAGAGTGTTTCACATCTGCAAGGTAGAACCTGTGAACTACATCCTGAGTCATAACAGCAGTAAGGCACCTGGACAGGGTTTTCTAAAATAAACCATTTTATTACTGTAGCTAACTAGCTAATGAAAAATTAGGCAGTTCCATGTCCAGATGGCCTGAGACCCATCTATTGCTATGGTGATGTCAAGAATCTGATATTTTCTCCTGCATTTTCTGATTTTCCACAGAACTTTGTAGTGCCTCTATGATGATTTTCTAGTCTACCCCTGGGGAAAAGGCACAAGACCAGAGCAGAACCCTCCAAATTTCATCTGTATATGAACTTTCATCTATACATTAGCTTTTCTTTTCCTTCATTCAGTAGATTGGGACCTAAAAGACTCATTGCAACCTTGTGAGTCCCAGAAGAATTTGAAACCTCAGCTCACACCATTTTACAGAGAGCTGGACTGTCCAGTATCTAGGTTCTCTTTTTTTTTTTTTTTTTTTTTTTTTTTTTTTTTTTTTTTTTTTTTTTTTTTTTATGTAAGCAGGAGCTGGAAACTGAAAGTGAAGTTATCAGCTATTACTGGAAATGTGTTCACACTGGCTTTTTGGCTCACTCAATGTTTTTATATTTTGTACACAATTAAACCATTCTTCTTGAAGAATACATAATTGAAAATCCTGCTCATGATACTGTTCACACCAGAATTTCAGAAGCATGAAAAAACCTCAAAATCATCCCTACTTCCAGCTTAGCACTAAAGTCGAAGGTTAGAGTTGACTTTTTAGTCAGAGATGCAAATCCCCTGCTGTCTCTTCTGCTTTTCTTTTTGCTTTTCATGGAACAAAACATTTTTCTGGTGTCAGAAAAAAGTTTCTGTGACAGCTTTTTTTGGGGGGGGATTCCATTCCAAATTTTAAAACCTACACTGATTGTGATGATCCAACCCAAGCAACATTGGAGGAATCTGTGTGCCTAAAATACAAATTCCTCTCTTAATCTATCAAAGTATGTGATAGATGTGATATATGATTATATCAAATGTTCCATTACATGAGGCACCAACAAAACCATCAAACTTAAATTCTAAATGCAAACAGTGCAATATTTGCAAGCAGTGCAAAATGCCATTAGAAATACATATGCATCAGATAATCTTTTTTTGTCATTAATTTTTAAAAAAATGCAATGGTTACGCATGGATTTTAAAAAAGCATTCCAGAGCTGTCATGCATCACATGTTGTGTCTCAAAGAGCAGCTTCATATTCAGTGTTTTGTATGCTGAAAGCAACACACGTTGGGATAGCTATGAGTGTTTCCACTGCAAAGCCTTTTGATGAAACAGAAGATGATATCAGGATGTTAATGGGGTGTATCTGGAAAATAGTTTTCTAATACTTTAAGGCATCAGCCAATATTACTTTTATTTAGAGTCCATCAAACTATCATAACTTGAGATGCAAAAATGTGAACTAGACTCCTACTGTTTTTTAAAATCCTGCTGTTTAGAGCCTTCTGTTGCAGGATTTCATTTTGAGTTTCTGTAAGGATTGGCACTTTGTGTCTAGATTTGAAGTCCTGCTTGGCACAATGGTATCTAGATGACTGTCTCACAAAAAAACTACTATGGGCAGTAAAAAGAGAAAGGATAAATGTTGGTATGCACTGTCTGCTAGATGCACAGTTATGTCCACTATGACAAAATGATAAGATTTGTGATAAGAGAAGAGCAGTAGTTGTCATTTACTTTTAAAAATTCTCTATTCTTTGAAGACAAGAGTCACCATATAAATGAGCCATTTGTACTTAATCAAGCAGAAGTACACACAGGCATCACTTTCTATATTGCAGAAAGAAAACTGATTGAGATGTGGTAACATGCCAACTACCCACTCAAAATGTTCTCTTTCAGACTTTCATAATATTTCTGTAAATATTGTGTGGTGAACTGGCCTTTAAACTGAATCAGTTTTGTCATCTGCAGTGCTACTCAAATGGGATGCTGTTTGGATAGTGTTAGCTTTAAAGCAACAAGCTGTATGTATAAAATATTTTTTAAAATTTTATATGTCAATATGGTAGGCATAGTTCTTGTTTATATATTTTATTTTTTATCTGCAATATAATTTTCAATGTGATGTACAACTATCGATTTTGTCAAACAGGCAGTAACTAAAATCCTATTAGGAAGAAGCATGATAATGGGTAGTATGTCTGCAGTGAGGAGTGAGTGTGATACATGGATTTCCATTGGTGTAATGATGCAGAGGAATTGCATGTCCAACAGGGATGTCAAGTGCATTTATGCTAAAATAGACAGAAGCATATAGATTATGAAATCTAGGGTACCAATCAAATCCAGAAGGATGCTCAGCAGTACCAATTCTTTGTGATTGGACTGAATCCTGTGAGAGGGAGATCAGATTATCCTCATGGAACCCTTTGATAAAGGAACTTTTGATTATTGTTAACTCCAGAGAAACATATTTTCCTCCCACTTTATCTGACAGGTTTTGTTCAAGTTAAGTAAAAGACCAGCTGCATTCTTGGCCAGCAGCAAGCTATGAGATATTTAGCTTGACATAGACAAAATATAGAAACACAGCCTTTTAATTACCTGTGATTTTAGCACTATCTTCCAAACCTAAAAGGTGCCACCCTATAAGCAAAAGTAATACAGCAAATACAACTGCAGGATACCACAATGCTGCCTTTTCTTCTGACAAGATGGGTTTTTCTTTGCAGCCATGGAAAGATTTGCGTTTCTTGAATCTTTGATTGGGTTAAGAGATATATTTGCAATTGTTTCAGGTTGTAGTGTCTCTTAAGGATAATCTTAGGATAATAGATTTATTAAATGCTAAGATAGAAAGATGAGACAGTGAAATGCTTCTTACTGTCAGTAACCTGTGACAATAGACCAGAATCCACATGGGTACCTTCTTCTGAGTTTAATGAAGAGAGAGGGTCCAAGAACTGTAGCCATGAAAAGTAACGGTGTTGTTATTCAGAAGCAACTTAGGCTTTTATTGAAAATCCTCTTCTTTATTAGATAGCTTGTATGTATTTTTATAATATTTGTGTATAGCAATTGCTGCAAGGAAACAGGAGTTGTTTTTCTGTTCTTTCCCATTTTACTTGAAGTTTATGCTTACATTATCCATGATTAATCTTTCTCCAGACATGGGAATGAGTGTACAGGAAGGAAGGAAGGGAAGGTAATACTGCCAGCTTGCACAGTTGTGCTGGAAACAGGATGACATTTAAGAAAACCATGATACTGCCTTCATATTTTCCTGCTTGGAGTGGTAGAGAACTCTGTCCCTTTCAGTAGGGCAGCATCAAGGAATAGAAAAGATCCTTCTCCCTTGCAAGGACAGCAAAAAAATCTTTTTGGTTCTTTGCCACAAAGGAAAGAAGGATGCAAGCAGAGGAAGGATGTGGCCTCTGTATGACTGGCTTCTTCCACCTGCAGAGTGTACTTCTGTGTGGCTCTTGAGGATCTGATCAGGGGATGCTGGAGTTACCATTGTACTGAGATGCCCTGGGTGATTTTGTCTTTCTTTCTGCTCAGACCAGTATAATGCTAACTATTTTCTTTCACATTTTCAAATTTCTCTTCGGATTCATGGGTGGGACATCGACTGTTGTTAGTAATTCTATTTCTTTGGGAATCCTTTGTGGGCCTTGTGCCTTATGACTGAACCACATATCTTGAGAATGATGTTTGAAACTTCATGTCTTGGAAACTGCATGTCAAACCTCCCACTGCAGAATAGCCTTGAGCCTTGGCTAGGTCTGTTAGGCAAGATGACTAGTATGCACTGCTGGAGACTTTGTACAGAGGTCAGACAATCCCTAGAAAAAGTTGGAATGTGCCATATTTATTTTTTTTTTAAATACTGAAGACAACCTGTCTTGGGAAAATTGGGGAAATTGGAAGGAGCTGAAAGATCTTCAAAGGAATCTGAGAGCATAGATGAGGCAGAGGAAGGGAAGAACTTAGGTTGTATGTAGCAGAGAGAATTTATGGTGCTGTAGGCCAAGTGCAAGCAGCTGCAGTGGGACATATGATGGCAGTGAAGAAGCAGGAAGCATAAGAATAATGTATAGAAAAATTATATTAAAAGAAATTATATAAAAAGGTACAGACCTATGGGAAGAAGTGGATGTTGAGTTGTGCTGACTAAAGAGAAAATAGCTAGTCTATACAGAGACTATGAAGAATGCAGAGGCAAGAGGACGAGGAAGGGAGCTGGTTAGCATGGCAGGGCTGTGTTACCACAGACTAGTGAGGGACCTGTAAAACTGAAAATAGCCCTGACTTCTGCACTTTTATCTCAAGCAAAATTTTGGTCCAGAAATTCTCAGCCATGCTACTAGGAGAGGTTGTTTCCTCCTCGAAGATCCAAAAAGTGAAGGTCAAATATATACAGGAATCTCTGTCAAACCTCAGCATGAAGGACTTTCTTATTATTGAGTCACACAATAAATCCAGCATTACAGTGTGCTCATCAGAGGCAAAACAAATATGTCACAAGGGAGGGGAGAAGATTCAAGTGTGTACTTGTGAAAGAGATATGCTGTGCAAATAAATTACAGGTCAGGCTACTGAACTGCCCAGTCCCTAAGGAATGTGGGGTATTTACATGAAATGAAAGTTGCAGAATTCCCAGCTGAAAAGGAGATAGATTTGCTAGGAAAACTGACTGTAGTTTCAAAAGCAGGCGTAATTCCACATGCAGTTGATTGTTGCAAAGAACTGATAACTCTTATCTTACCAGTGTTGCATTTTATTTTCTTTAACTGTGCTGGGAGCTATAACCATCCTTTTCTTTTCCTGATATTTTAGGTACAGAGAGAACTGGCTGCTGTCATTGCCTTGAAAGCAAGGAAGTCAGGTGAGTCAGGCTGAACTTCAGAGGGGTTTTTGTAATGCTGTTCCCTTTTGTTGTTTCTTGAAGTATCTGAATTATCACTGCTGTCTTTTTAATATGGAGAAGAAAAGATAGTGATGGAGATCTGTGTATGCAGCACAATGCAATTACAGTTAAGCTTCTCTCTATCCAGCTCATTGTGTCTAACAACCTAGCAAATAAAATCAGTGTCACAGTAGAACTTGGGTCTCTTTCTGGCCAAAATCACTATTTTCTCTAGGCTTGTGCTTTATGAAAAAAGCGGATGTCTTTATTTGACTTATATTTAAGACAAATAAGTTGGTCATTTTCATTTTTTCTTAATCATCCAGTATCTCATACCATCATCTTTTCTGCCTTTTACTGGCCAGCCAGATGTTTTTTTTACTGCTAAAGCAAAAGGGCAACTTCATGCATGAAGGCTTTCTTTCCTTCCTGCTCATCTTTATGGCTGGAGAGGCAAGTCTCTGATCAGGGCAGGAGAAGGGGAAAAAGCAGTTGGATAACTGGAAGTCTCTGACAGTAAAAGCATACCCAGCACATGCTGTGCCACAGTGCAAAGGGACTGAAATATGTGGCCATCTCAGCTCCATCAGGGTTTGGTATCACAGGCACTTTGGAAGGTAGAGTCTGCATTGCTGAGGCAAGAAAGGAGGCCAGGAAGCTGTGTTTTCCAGGCACTGCACAGGAACCAACAAAACCTACTTGGCCAGACCTGACTCTTTACAGGGTTAACTCTCTGATGCCTTCATGCAGTGTCTTCTGCAGCAAGTTCAATGTATTTCTAAAGTAAAACAGAGGTGGAGTGGCCTTGAATTATTAGCATGTTCCCAAAGCTGTTGAAGGTTTTGAGTGCATTTTTACTGAATATCTATTGTGATTTTCAGTGATTTTTCTAGAAATCCAAGTCACAGATCTTGTACTTCTTGGGCTACTTTCTGACTTGTTCATTGTGCTGCATCTCTATCAGTCTGTCTGTGGCTTACAAGTACAGCACAAAATTTACTACACACATGCACAGCACACAGCATGATATCATAAACTGGAGGCATCAAGAAGATGTGGCTGGTGTACCTGCAAATATTTTCTTGTGAAAATGTAAGTATTAAAAAAATACTCTAGACATAGTTTGATGCTGTTTTTTCCTGGAAATAGAAGCACCCATAAGTTATACCCACACTCATCTATAAATGTAAATCTGTAGGAAGTGAACACAAATGTGAGTGTTGATTCAGACCTGAATTGCTTCTGTGTGGAAGCTTTGCTTCTGAAAGTGCTGTAGTAGTTTATGATGTCAACACCCCTGGGCTGCTTGCCCTTACCTGGTATCACCCCAGTCCCACCTGACTTGTAATGGCTGAACATGGAAATGCTTCTGCTATGGCTCAGTGCAGAGGAAAACAGGTTATTTTAAAGAAGTTCTCAAGGTAATCGTTTGTTTTGCTGCTAAATGGGCTGAGCATCGTGACATGTACTTTTACTTCCTGTTTATATATGGAGGGATAATAAATATCTCTACTTTTAAGCAGATTTGTCAGCAAATATTACTACAGCTATTACCTATAAATAGAAGTCTTTCCCCCAAAAGAGTTGTTTTTAGCTTGAAGTAGCCTTTTATTTCCTTTTGGTGGATGGTTGTTAGAGGAGAAAATGGGGTGGGCGTTGGATTAGGAATGAGGTACAAGAGATGAAAATCCAAAAGGATAATATCCCTTGGTGTCTCCTTTTTACTGGTGTAATTGCAATCCTCAACAAACAGGTAGAAATATTCCAGTTAAAAATCACAGCCTTCCGAAAACAAAGCTCCTTATAGAGCTTTGCAGTGCTGTCCAGCCTTTCCTAATACATTAATGTAAACACTTAAAATATCTGTTCAGCTCTGAACAAAAGATAACTCTTTAGTCAGTTTAACTAGTGTGTGCTTGTTGTTGAAATTTGTATTTCTTTATGCCCCATCTTGGATGCCTGTAAAAAATGGGTGCATGGGCATAACTGTAAGGTCTAATTTAAGTTAATGCCTTTAGTAAAGTAGGTGCAGAGTAAATTAAGGTGGTTGGTTATGCTCCTTTATTTTATGGCTGGTGGTTAAATTCACAGTGTAGCAGTTGCTGTGAGTGATCAAGCTATGGTGTGCTGTGCCTGCTGAAGTGAAGCACGTTTCAGAGAAAGTACTTCTGGAGTTTTAAGTCACAGTATCTTTCAAAGATTTTTTTTTTCTTTCAAAGTCTCTCCAAGAGTCCACATAATTCCAGGAAATAAGCCACCAAAAGTCAGATAAAGAGTTTATTTTGGCTTGAAAAGAGTGGAACATTGGCTTTTTGGGCCAGCTGCCCTGGGTAGCTTCCAGGTTGGTGTGAGTGACGTGGGAGCCTGGCTCATCCCCCCTGGGATTCATGAGTGGGGAGGGCAGGCGATGGGCATTGTCCTAACCTGCTGTCTGGAACCAGGCTGTAGAGGGTAATTGGTTCATTAATCAAAAGCTTTCCTAGAGATGAGCAGGCTCCCTATCCCATTAAAAAAAAAAAAAAAAAAAAAAAAAAAAAAAAAAAAAAAAAAAAAAAAAAAAAAAAAAAGAAAAAAAAAAGAAAAAAAGGCATTTTTACCTAATGCAAGGACTATATAATGTGTTCCTGATTTAGTTTAATTTCTGGATGTACCTCTGCTCTTAGAGAGACCCTTCACAGTGATCTAATTGTACTAGAAAAACTGGCTGATTTAAGTTTTTGCATTACTTGATTATTTGTCTAGAACTGCTGTGCTAATCACTGTGTTAAGTTGCATGGAAAGCACTATACAAGCACCTAAACACCAGAGCTCCCTGTGCTTGGGTTTGCTACCTAGTATATGTATGCAACAGGTAGTAATTGAAACTATTACAGTTCTGGCTGTGGCAGAGATTTCCACACTGTATCTGCTGACAAATACTGAGGTAGAGACCTGAGCCTGCTGTGGGGTAGGGCAGAGTATCAAATTCTTGCTAGTACAGGATCTGACTTGATGGAGAATGTCTGCTACCAGAAAATAAAATGCCAGTAGGGTGTGGGGTAGAATGCCTTTCCCCAAGAGCTGTTTTTCTGTTCTTACTGTGGTGTGGAAGAACAGGAGAAATTCATAAAATTGGCAGACACTGAAAGAAAAATGAGAAACTTGAAAAATTAAAAATTTCTGTGCTGTGGGAAAAAAGCTCTGTTTTCATATTCTAGATGTGTACTGCAAGTATACCACTCTGATAACAGGGCATATGCTGACAGAGACATGCTTGAGAGCCTTCATGCAGAGGGTACTCAGCACTTTTAGTTTCTTTGCAAATAAAACTAAACCAGGGTAAAATAAGTGTCTGTAATTCCAAAGTGTTGATGGACCTCGGCAACACTCTTGGCTTGAAATCACATTTATATTTCATTAGAATAAAGCTCTTGTGATAAAGGTGACCTAGGAGGGAGAAATGAGCTTGTACAGTTCTCTGTGGCTTATAAAAATACATTGAAATAATTCTTGCCTAACCTTAGAAATAAACAGATTAAATGCTGTCTTCTGTGGTTTGGTAAAAGGTTTTGGGGAAGCAAATAACTGGAGCAGAAAGGACCTTTTCCTTTAATTGTAGGCACTTGGTATTAAATTGTTTTATTTGTTTATACATTGCTGGCTTCTGATAGCCTCTGCAAATGTGCTGAAATGTAACATAAATGCAGCCTCCCCTCTGAAGGTTTACAAGGGTTGGCATTTTTCTCAATTACTTGTCATGGCTCATGACATGTTTCTTATGTGTTAGAGATGGTAGCTAAAACAAGGATAAAAAGCAGCAAATAGCCTAAGGCTGGAGGCTTTAGCTGGTGGCAAAGCTACATGGGTACATGTGAACTGATCAAAACCTGTCACGTAGGTGTTTTGTACTGCTGTTAATCCCATCCACAAACAAGATGCCTTGCATTTCTGAGCACAAACTGAGCTGCACCCCATGGCATTACCCAGCAAATCCCTTTATAGAAAAAGGAATTTCTGTAACTTTATTTGTGCAAAGGATCAATTGATAAGAGCATGGCTCTTGTCTTTGTGTTTATGAACACAGGGCTAATTAAGATAATAGCTGACAGGGTATGGATGAGTAGGAAGATGATGACTCAGCTTCTCCCCAGGCACTGCAGGAGCAGCGGCAGGTCTGTGGGTGCTTCTCCCTCCCACTGTGAAAGGCAGGGCAGCCACAAATTCCCTAGAACTTGTGTGTGGTTTTTCTCCCCCTTATGAATGATATTCAGGTTTCCACTGTATAATTAGATACATTTTAGTCATGCCATTCTTGAATTGGAAAGCTCTATTGATTTTTTTAATATGTCATTTACATTTTATTTATAATAATGTATAGTAATTTATAATAATATTACTTTTGCAATGTACTAACTCCATATTTGAGATCTTCTGGATTGCCTCCACCCTATTCTTACATATATGTATGCATAGCCACCCTTCCCCTTTTCTTTTGTATTGCTTCTGTCAGAACTTAACTGCCTATGTGATTTGCTTCGTATTTTTATTTTAGTGCAGACAATTCAATATGAAGCAGTCACTGGGGCTTGAGCTTTGCCGACATGAATGAAAAGCAAGCTGTGAGCAGCTATTCCTTTTCCCAGGCACTGCAGCACCTCTGCAGCTCTGCTGTCAGGGCTGATTGCGTGACTCGACTCAAACACACTGCAGGCAATGTCAGCCCAGTTAAACACATGAGAACAGTCAGGCTGGGTCAGGTTAAAAGTCCATCCAGCTACGCTCCTACCGTGAGTGATGAGTAGGGGATGCTTAGAGTAGAGAAACAGAGCAAGTACAGTTCTTCTGTACAGGCTCAGCATCTACCAGCCTCTGATAGAGGGATTTTGGTCTACCCACAGTGCTGTGGTAGATAACCCTTGCTGGACCTTTTCTCCATTAATTTATCAAATTGACTTTTAAGCCTGCTTATACTCCTGACCTTCATCATCTCTTATGGCAGC